TACGGTAAGCAGCATGCTCATTTGAGCAATTGCAGCCTTGCTTGAAGCTTGCTGCAAGGTGCAAAACTAAGCTCTTACGGCGTCCAAATACAAACGATACGCTATGCGGACTTGGTACAAGGGGTAAATGTGCATCCCTGAAGCTCAAAAAGGTCCCTACAGTTCAGCTTTGGAATGCATTACAATATGCAAAGTTGAAAATGCATGTATCTTGGACACCATGAGCAGTGCGGCTGCTCACAGCAAGCTAGGTCCGACGAGGAAGCTCTTTGAGGTTGGCAGCCATTTTTTCTGCCGTCATCTTGACGTCATCATTTTTTCCAACAACTGTCGACGACCGTCGATGCTTGACTTTCCGCGTTTTCGGTACCCCAAACTGCGGAGCCAATGCGGTATCAGAAAGCCCCATTGCAAGATTCGGCGACCCACCTGGGTAGGATGAAAATTTGAAATCCAAAGTATTCGAACTCGTCCGTACGATATTGAATCCCGCTCTATCGACGGTCAAAGAATCTCCCGCCAAAACACGCGAAGATGGATAGAAATTGGCAATTGCTCCAGCTCTGGCATTGAACACTGAAATTCAAAATCACAGAAAGGCTGACTACATTCAAATCGTTACAATGTTTCTTCCACTTTGAACAAAATTTGAAAGGAGGGCCGCGTGTGGATAAGATCTAAGTAGTAACACTGAGTAACACCCCTCGAAGTGACGCTTGACGGTACCGGTATCACCCAATTCCTTTCTCAGAGCTGATGGCATGTTGAAACAGCTCTGGAACATCGGCATGGGGCGTCAGGGAAAGAGCTCAGCTCGCCCTTCAGCAATGGACATTGACAGCAGCAAGGCAGGGGACGAGGTACCCAGCGATTTTGAGGGGGTGAGTGGCGTCTCCGTGAGCGAGGATGTTGGAGGGGTGGAGGCTGTCAGCCCGTCTCGTCCAGCCCGGAAGCAGAAGCAGAAGGTAGGACGCAGATACCTGGTGATCAGTATGTTGTGTTGTTCCACGGAACATTCTAGTCACTTCGTAGCAAATTGGACCCTTTAACTGGTTGAAAATGCAATTTTCCTAAATGGTTGCCCTATCTCATCAGGAATAACTTGTGAACTTGCTGCCGCCTTGTCCAAAATTGTTCAAGTCTGGGTCAGCTGGCGCATTTGAGAAAATAAAGCATCGCTTCGGAATCCCTCCTTTGACAACGGTAGATGGTCAGTACTGACCACTCCGTTAGGAGCCTCGATGCAGCAGATGGTCGGGAAAATGGTCGTTTCCAGAACTTGTTTACCGTTTTCAAAAGTCACATGACAAGTCTTGGTAAAAGGTGCCTCCTTTGGACCTACTGTGAGTTGCATTGATAGATGAATAGCAATTAACTTTCAGTACAATCGCGCAGATTGCCTCTATCCAAGTGTCCAACCTTTGTTTGCTGGGTTACAGCACACAGACTGAGCAATGACCGTCAACTGCAACTTGAAGTTGCAGTTGAGATGATTCTCAGATCTGTGAGACGATTCTCAGATTATTTTCACCTCCCTGCCGCAGGAGCAGAAGCAGAAACCCAAGCCAAAGGCTCGCAATGCTAAGCGGAAGGCTTCTCCAGTCAGTGAGATTGAGGAGGAGAAAGACTCTCCTTACGATGAGCTAGCAGAAACAGAGACCGAAGAAGATACCCAGATTGTAGAAGGCCCTTCAAAGGCGTCGAAAAAGAAGGTTGAGGCCCCAGAGGAGGAGGGGCTCTGGATTGGAAAACCAATTCCAAAGGATCAGGCCAAGAAGTTTTGGCCTCATCGGTATGGATCAAACGAGGTAAGCAGGAGTTCCCTTGAATCACAGCTGCAAGAGCTGAAGCAAGTCAAGGCCTGTGCTGTTGATGTGTTAGAAAGGAATCATAGCATCTTTTGTTCACATCGTTCTCGCAGGCAGGGTCACCTACTCAAGTCACTCAAACACACTGAGTCCAGTCTCAAGCTTCACATACAAACAACATTAGATGATGCTCTTCCAGTGCCTTGTGATGACAGTCATCCAGATACAGAGACTGTATCATTGCCATGCTCTATGTGGTGGCTACTACACTCGAGTATGCAGTTTTCAGTCTTGAGCAGATGGGATCCCTTGTCAAGCATACTGGTCAACATGAACCTATATATGAACCTACTCGACTTCTTACTTGACGGATCCCCTGAAAGCAATCGGTGTGGATGGAGTCAGGCTGTTGCTCCCCTTGGTTAGAGGCCTGTCAACAGTTGCAGTCATGTGCCGGTGCTTTATGAAGTAAGAGTTTGCAGGTCTAGCCATTCATTGCACACGCTGTTGGATAAGGTGGCTACAAGAGGCAATGTGCATCTTATTCCTCTCGTGTATTCAGTTTCAAGTTCTGAAGGCACACAGCACAAATCCTCATCGTTACTATTGCTGCGCAGAACCTTGCTAAGGTGAATGGGGAGCATCTAGCCACCGCGCACTATGAGCAAGCATCAGTAGACGGCATCGTTGTCTCGCTTGGGGACGCTGTTGCAGTACAGGTATGTCTCAAACACTTCAGCACAGTCTGTTGGTTTCTCTGTCAAGAGAGTCAGCATTATCCAGAGCAGGTGTGTTTAGGCTACTTGATGTGGATGCAACTTAGATTCGCACATGTTGTATAAGGCTCTTTGACTTAGTCTGTCAGTCGGCCAAGAATAATCCTTGTCCCCCAGTAACCAACATAATTTGCTGCAGGGTCCCGATGTTGACTACGTTGCGATTATCTACGAGTTGTTTGAAAGCCCAAAACGGGAGAAGATTTTCCATGCACGATGGTTTTGGAGGGTTGCAGACACGGTAAGCAGCTGCTACACCAGAACTGCTGGCAGGGCCTTCCCGCCTTCCATCTCAATGCTTTATGCCTTCCCCGTCTTGTGTCTGGATTCATCAACGTATGGATTACCCATGTCCGCAAGGCCGAGATTCCTGCTTTCGTGCCAATCATTTGCTGCTGCAGGATGCTCACACTTCACTGGTCGCCGCACAAAGTCCCTTACTCCTAGTTACTGCAGGGTGTCCATTTGCTTAAGTTCTGTGCATTGTCTCCGGATGTCCGTACTTTTTGCCGCCGATTGTAAGCCGTGTGGAGAAAAGTCAACCACTCCGCTGCTTGGTGCGCATTTGCCCGTCTGATCTTCATGCATCAGAAGCTCCTCAACTGCCATGCTCAGCTGCAAAAGGTTTGTAAGGCAAGCTGGAACGAATTGTTCGTTACGCACATTCTCCAGGTCCTGAGAAGCGTTGGCGCTGTCAAGGGGGGACATATCCATGACAAGATGGTGTTGCTCTCTGACTGGAGCAACAATGACGAGAACGACAATCCTCTGGGGTGCATAAAGAGCAAGTTGACGGTGGTGTATGTGCCACCAACAGTAAGTACCAACTCAGCTACCCGTCTACCCTGCTCTGCAAGCAGACAGCGGAAGGTCGTGTCATCTCATGCTAGGTCGTTTTACTAAGGTTGGGCAAAAAAACCATTTCATTCATTCGCAGAGGCTGAAACGTTTGAATCATTGCAGTGAACAGTTGCGCAGAGTCCTTGAAACTCGGACATACTTCAGAGCATAAGGTTGCTTGGATGCCAAAACGATTCACGTTATGCCAAAGTGATCACAAATTTCTCAACATTCAAACGAGGGGCCGTTTCGGCTCCCAACTGGAGTCTTTCCCTCAGAAAAGAAACAGGAGCTATCAACGCGGAGATTTTGGAAGCTTTCATCCTTCTGAGCAGAATTCATGAAATGGAGCTTTCAAATCTTGTAAGTATGCTCATTTTTTTCACCTTTTGCAGGATGTGGCAGCAGGCGTGCCAATTCCGGAGTGCGACTACTGGTACAACTCGTACTGGGCCCAGTCATACAACTCGATCCAGCACACGCCTGGCCCAGGTGAGCACGCTAGGTTGCTTCCTCATTGCCTGCAAGTAATGACTCCGTTTGTAAGATCTTCCAAGGCACCAAAGGTAGCTTGAGCCCTTTTCAGGGGCATCTGAGTTTGTCATTAATCTTCCCAGTTGGATTCAGGTTGCATCTGCCTTATATTGTGTTCTATCTCCTGCTTTTTCCCCTTGCTCCTTCGATCCCCATATCTCATTACAATGTCCACTTTGCAGTCTCTGGTGTGAACCCGCTACGGCCGAACAAGCAGGCAAACCCTGACAACATGCCGAGACACAAGGGCCACAGCCCTGCCGCCAGCGTTGCGGGACCGGTGGACACATTCGTCCCACCCCCACCGACTGAGACTGTAGGAAAACGGACAAAGGCTGAAAAGGGGAAAAAGGCAGCTGGGAAGGAGGCTGTCGTCGCCTCTGTAAAGGCTGGTAAGCTTCACATGAAAACCTCAGACCTTGCTGAAGCTTTTGGGGTCTTGGGTGAGGCCATCCATCATCTGGACGAGAAAGCATCAAAAGCATCAAAGTATCCATCAACCAGGGCAAAGCGTGCAGGAATCACTCCGTTTCACAGACCGAGAAGAGCATACTCTTCTTGCAACGTAGTTATTGTAAAAGCTGGAAGGAAAGATTTAATCAGAGGAGAAATACGGATCCCTGTGCACGCAAAACGGCAACCCACTTTCAATCCAAGACCTCTTCCAAGATGTCTTCTCATGGATCTAGTACCGAGCGAAATCAATCAGGACTTTATCCTCGCTTTTTCCAGCTTTGTCATATTTGGGCTCTGAGATCGATCAGGAAAGGTCGACTATCCAAAAATAACACTGCAAAGATCACAGGGAACACCCGACACATCAGCAGAAACAGGCCTCTCTCACACTGCATCACACTGCATCACAGATCCGAAACATGGCAGAACTTGCTGAGGAAAACTTGCCCTTGACTGGTTCCTCTTCGTGGCCAACCCTGTCCGACTGCTGCCCCGTCGGACCTTGAGAGACTCAAACCTCTTTCCTGATGTCCCGCAGAGGCCCCAAACGAGGCCGGGCCCTCCTCCGATCCCGGGCCCTCGAGCAGGGCAGGCCCCTCCTCCGACCCAGGCCCTTCGGTTCAGGCGACTCCCTCTGAAGACGACGACCCAGACACCCCGAGCAAGGTCAACGTTGTGGGCCTGGAGAAGCGCCTTTCGGAACCGACGCCCTCAAAGAAGGTTGTGTCGCTCACAGAGCTCTCCGGAGGGAGCACCCCGAGCAAGTCTGACGCCAAGGTGGAGGGAGCGAAGGAGCGCCCGCTGCGCAAGGCGAGGGCTGAGGAGAGCGCGGTGCCGGCGACCCCCTCCACTGCTACCACAAGCGGTGCGTGTCAAAAGTCAGACCCAATCTGTCTGTCCAAGCTCTAGCTACTTCCGAAAGAGAAACAAAGTCTTTGGTGCTTTGGTGCACACAGGATAGGGTGGCTGGACGTACTGCCAACGTGGAAGTTGCTCACTGCTCGCTCGAACAACTTTCTTCTGCGTCCGGTTTTTGACATGTTCAATGTCACGTACCAGGACGGACCGTTTTGCTATATCCGAACCAAGACAACCAACTCCTCTCGGCCTGTCACCAAGAAAATAGATGGACCTTGTTTTCTTCTTATCCCCCCTTCTTTCTTCGCTCATTGGGGCCTTTTGGCCTCCAGCAGTCCAACCGTCCCCCCTGAACTACCTCACGGGGTTGTATATGTCCTCAATTTAACCTGATTCAATTCTCTTCTTGTTTCAGTTGGCAGAACCAGAAGGGCCAGCTCCCGGGCGATCTTCAAACCAAGCCCTCAGAAAGGGGAGCTGGGCAGTGCGGAGAAGCCAGTTGCGCTGGACTCTGAGGACGAGGAGGCGGAAAACGCTCCGCCAGCAAGGAAGACAGGGAAGGCGGCAGAAGGTACTGCTTCCACACTTTCGTGACTCGACTTTGTGAGGGTATTCTGCTTTCCTCGAGGGAGGGAGTTCAAGCTCAAGTTACAAGACAAGGCACTACTGAATCCAGCCGATCTCCTTCCCTTGGTCTCCGTCGTTGTTTAGGAGCCCACGATGATTGTCGCCAAGTCGAGGTCTCAAGCGGAACCAACCAATTGAAGCGTCTAATTCCCAGCAGACTAACACTAAAGCGCTCCCAAAACTCATTCGTCATTTTCGAAGTAGTCCACCTCGATCTCTGCGTAGACATAGCGAGAATGACGTGCACATTCCATGCTGCACAAGCCGACCTTATAAGAAGCTTTGTTGCTGAGGGTTTCGTCCTATTTGTTCTTGCCGCAGCTGCGCCCGGACCCTCCACTAAAGACGCTGCACCAGAGGCCAAGATAATGGCCACAGTAACGGCGAAGATCGGGGCGGCAGTCCAAGCGGCCTTCGAGGGCGCAACTGCGGTCAAGAAGGCCATTACTGGTCCTGAGACGACCACGGTCGAGGTCACAGCCACGGCGACTGTCACCGCGACGGTGCCGGCACCCAAGAAGGTGGAGCCTGCTCCTGCGTCGAACCAGCCAGGTTTGTTGTCTACTCAGCTTATCTCTGCAGACGACTGCAATTGCGAAGTTCTAAACGCACGGATGGGATCAGTCTCTTAACATCAAGCCTGCTATCCTGAACAACAAAAACAGTGAAAGAAAACGCACGGCGTCCTGGGTTGAAACGTATAGAAGTGGACCAAAGATGATCGACCGCGTTGACCGTCGTTACTCGCCAGTGTGGCTTCAGGGTCATCAGGATGTTCTAAACTTTCTTGCGAAAGACTGCGAAATATTTTAGAGGTTCTTGGCAGCGTTTGATAGCAAGCACTCAGAGCGGGACGACACCACAAAAACGATCCACAACGTGCTGCTCAGAGCGGGACGACACCACAAAATAGATCCACAACGTGCTGTGATGTGCAAAACTCGTGCCCGTGGCCATCCATTTCTCAACAGTAAACTTTCCGGGCCATTCGAAGTTGGTGACAGATCCAGCAGATTCAACGCCTGGAAGAAGCGGCGGTTAGAGAAGCAATAATTTTCCGGGCCGTCCTTACGAGACCCTTGCGGTTTTTGCAGAGGTCGAAGGGAAGGTCAGAGGCGCACCCACGAAAGGCCCGACCAAGACCGCCAATCTGAAGGACTTCCTGGACGGACACAACTACCCGAAGGCTCAGGAGTTCCTGACGGTGCTCGACATGTACGCGGGGTGCGGGGGCATGTCCACAGGGCTTGGACACGGCCTGGGGAAGGCGGGGGTCACCCTGCATCACGTAAGTTGATGGAGAAGTCACTTGGTACGGTCTGGCTTTGTGTATCATTTCATGCTTTCTGCTGAGAAACTACGGATCGACTCGGACATATCGTTTATAGATGAGCGTTTGCGCAATCAGATGTACTCTTTAATCAACAGAACGAGGATGGTTGGGCCTCAACAGACAAGGGGTGTTCTTGCCTAGTGCGATAGGTGGTCGAGCTACTTTCATTGTTCCGAAGTTTCTCCTTGAGCAGCATTGCCGTCAGCTCGATCTGGACGCGCTGCGTATTGCCTCAGCTCCTGTGTAAGATATGAAGCTTCTGTGCGTCTTTGAAGGCCGGTTCGCTCTCTGATGACCAGGATTTTTTCTGAGTGAGGATTGCTCGATGTGCGTGGTCCCAAATTATAACTACAACTCGGTTTTCCGGTGGGCCGGCTAGATGCTGGAAACAAGCTGTCTTCTTTGTTCGTACCGTCAAGAGAAGTTCCTCGTTCGCACAACAGCACAAGAAGCAGTCATTTGTCCTTCTTGCAGAAATGGGCCGTTGACATGATGGAGTGCGCAAGCGAGACGTACAAGCTGAACCACCCGGAGACCCACGTGAGTGCTTCCAAAGCCGCGTTGCCTCGAGAGCCCGTTTACTCCATCTGTTACTTGATTGAAAAGAAATTCGTGATTTACGGGGAGCACAATCAGACACAACTGAACCTCCAGGAACGAGTGTAAGAATAGATCACAAAGTTGGCCAGCATAGGCTCAAGAAGTTTTGACATTCGTTCTTGACAGAAGCGCTGCTCCTTGGTAATCATTAGACTGGATGCGCTGCACGCCCACTGACAGGTTTGGATCGTTTGGCGGTTTGAGATTTCTCTCAACACAGCTCTGTGTCGACTCATGCAGCCTTCAGGTGCTCATTGCATTTCGCAGACAGCAGCTCCTGCTCTCGTGCAGGTGCGGAACGAGTCAGCAGAGAACTTCTTCATGGTCTGCATCGAGTGGCTGCGGCTCAAGAAAATCTATGTCGATGGGGAGACGGACTACCAGCTGCCTGAGGAGCTAGTCAAGATCATCCGCTCAACGTAAGTTTAGTGCAGCAGACGAAATTCCACCCTTGCCTATTCCGTATCATGGGTAGTCAGCTGTTTTTTGCCTGCCCGTCCAATCTAAAGTATGCGTCCGTAAGAATCTGTGGCAAGATTGAGGCTGTTTATGCTCGGTGCTCCAAGTCGCTGTGGCTATCCTCTTTGCAACTGCTGCGAAATTTCTTCAAACTACTTTTTCATTAAGATGAAAAACGCGAAGAGTATACCCAGGATCCCTGATTTGTAGCTTTAGGTCCAGGAAGACTTGCCGTGCCAGGGTTGCCGCATTCCTTTGCAACGTCTTTCAGGGATTTAGTGCGCCTTGGCGAAGTTCTGGGTTTTCTGTGCCCCAGCAAGACCACCAAGCCTCCAACCTAGTAACTCTTACAATACCTAATCCAAATATTCCTGCTTCCAACCCTTCGTCTAAACTTGCTTTTAACCCGATATATAAACATTAATTACGTTCTCAAGCACCATCTGAGCGCCGACGAAGCGCCCATCTAGAAACCCGAAGAATACGCCGCATTTGAGTCTTCATTGAGGAAGAAGTGCTCGACGGATGACCCTTGAGAAATCAAGCATTCTGACCTTCTCCGATTCAAAAACATCTTGCTTGTAAAATAGTCTTTCACCCACAGCTACGTTCTCAACTATCGCCTGAGCGCCGACGAGGCCCTGATCGCGGAGCTCGAGGAGGACGGCGACGCGTTCGAGTTGGTCTTAATCGAGGAAGAAGTGCCCGACGAATGACCCGTGCGGAATCAGCCAGTCCGTCCCCTTCCCAATTTAAAAACAATCCTGCTTCTAATTTAGTCTTTCGCCCACAGTTACGTCCCCAACTACCGCCTGAGCGCCGACGAGGCGCCGATCGTGGAGCTCGAGGAGGACGACGCGTTCGAGTCGGTCTTAGTCGAGGAAGAAGTGCTCGACGAAGAACCCGTGCAAAATCGGACTTTTCGTCCTTCTCCAAATGTAAAAACCTGTTCTAACTCAGGTTTTTGCTCACACAGCTACGTCCCCAACTACCGCCTGAGCGCCGAAGAAGCTATTGCTGAGCTCGAGGAGGACGACGCCTTCGAGTCGGTCTTCATCGAGGAAGAAGTGCTCGACGACGAACTCGCGGAGGAGCTGACCAAGAAGAAGAAGCGCGCCAAGAAGCCCGCCGCCCCTAAGGAGAAACCGGCCGCCGCTGCCAAGCCGCCCGCCGCCAAGAAGAGCAAGTCGACGAAGGCGGACCCGATGACGGGGCGCGGCGGGGAGCCGCCAAAGAGCGAAGCGCTGCGGCTGTTTACGCATGTGCTTCCGCCGGATGCAAAGGGGAAGGAGAAGGTGGACGAGGAGACCGGGCCAGCCGAGGGTGAGTGCTTCATATTGGTTTCGCTTGACGAAGGTCTCGATTGTGGGTAAATTCTTGGGGTGGTCTCAGACTGACGTGTGCTTTTGAGCTTTTTTGCCTGCTGCCGATTCTGACGAGGAACCCAATTTGTAGAGCCAGTATAGGCCAAGATTGAGATGCGTCGTATGCACTCCTCAGCGGCAGCGTCGTTGGCGCATGCTTACAGATCTTCTCATGCGAGTGTCAATGAGAGTAGAAATAATCTTAGCAACTTGTGGAGTGCTGACGCTTGCCGCTCGGAGCGTAAGAGCAAACGACAATTCGCTTTCATGCACGCGAGCTCAATTTCAGCAAACGATTGCCTTGTCCCATTACAAAAGATCGTCAACACTGCCCGGCCAGCTTCGTACACCAGATCCATTTTTTGACTGAAAGCATACACGCTTTCTTTTCCAGTTACAGAAGGGTCTCCCACTAAGCCAATCGAGGTTCCTGACGAGGGGGAGAATGAGACTGGAACGAAGCGGAAGCGGCAGGAGAAGGCTGTGAAAGCCACTGCAGCCGGTGGGAGGCGCAGTGTTCGGGGGAAGAAGGAGGTGGACTATGCGAAGGAGATGTGAGGACGGTGGCCCTGATCATGAAGCTGCTCCAACAATCTGCAAGTTACTCTCTCAGACCATTGAAAGGTTTTGCAAAATCCTCTACAATTGGGTTGAAGGAATCGTAATCAGACCCGCGAAGGAGACAGCAAGGGGCTGACTTCTGCGGGCTGTTGCGATGCTGCATGGCACTGGACGGCTCATCATCTGTGGCAAGCAGATTTTGGCCTTGAAATCGCTGACTACCACACTTTGATAGGCAACAATCAGCGCGTATTTCCAAGTAAACGCTATTGGGGGCGTCGCTCCTTTTCCAACAGAAGTAAGAGGCCGTTTCAACGCTTTAGAGGAATCCAAACTAGGGAGGCTTCAGCTGTTGCTCTTATGGTGATCAATATTGAAATTTACAAAATCGGCACAGATTAGATATCCAGAGTGCCCAACAAAAAGTCGGTCTTCTTCTTTCCCCGCCCTTCAAAGTGGAAGAGCAGCGGCTACCAAATAAGGCCAAGGCGCCCGCCAAAGTTCTCTCAAAAGCAGAAGACCAATCAAGCGAATCAAGTTCTTTTGAGAAGCGAGAAGATGCCAAATGGATGTTGTTCTCTCTTTCCTCCAGCCCGCTCGAGGTGGACGAGGAGCGGCGACCAAAGAAGGCCAAGGTGCCCGCCAAGGTCGCCTCCAAGGGCAAGAAGAAGCTAAGCGAGGACGACGAGGAGCTGGTCGACGAGAACGTGTACGAGGTCGAGTACGTCTACGGCGTCCGCTGGCACCGCGACAAGGAGCACAACTTCCGGGGGCTGCAGTACCGGGTGAGCTTGGTTCTTCTGTCCTCCGTCTCGTTTATTTCGTTGCTAACGTCTTGTCAATTTTTTTTGCGTCGCTTTGTCGCGTTGCTACCGCCATATCAATCTCTTTCCGTCTCTTCGTCTCGCTGCTATCCTCTTGTCATTCCGTCGGTCGGCGTTCTGTCTTGTTGTCCGGGAGAAGGCCAGCTCGTCAGGGCTTTGTTCCCATCCTTTGCTTTCCTCACGATTCTCGAGAAAGGAGTTCATAATTCACAAGATATGAGCTTCGACTAACATTTAAAGTACCCCCGAATCTACCTGTTCCGCACCTCTGGCCACCGTAGACCCTCAAAGGCACCTAATCTTCCTGGTGCCGTTGCCTTGCAAGTATTGTAGCATAACGCCATCTTTCTTGAAATCGCCTCCGTCTCAATCCCACCATTTTTCTGTTTTTTGCGTTTTGTGGGCGTCCTGTCTCCTGTCAACAAGCAGGCCGTTTCTGGAACGTTTGGTTTTGTTTGAGCCGTCGATGGCGCTGTTTGTTATTGAGTTTCGTGAAAGCTAGCTTGGGTCCACTCCTAACGGTTAAATAATCTGATTGTGAACCTCGTAAGCTTTCTGAAGAATACACGACAATCTGCACGATTACGGAGGTCGAAGCGATTCAGTCTCTGGCAGCATATGCAAAGACGATTAGCGTTGAAAAAACCCACCGAGGCTTCAACCCCACTCCAAAAACCAGGAAGATGATGCTTCAGGGAGGCGGAAGTTTTCGAATCGATGTTGTTAGGAAGACATGATTGAGACGGTTGAAAGGACTGCTTGCTTGACCTCCCTCTGCTTCTGGGTGACGGAACTTCCGAGCCCAACTGAAGATGGGTGCTGGACGTGCTTCGGAGTGTGAAAGTCGGCTGCTTGATGTTTGCTCACGTGGGTACAGATCCGGTGGAAGAACTACACGGAGGAGTGGGACACGTGGGAGCCTGAAGAGCTGGCAGAGTAAGTAAACGGGGTCTGTATCACTTCGAAAACCACCGGAATTGGTTTTGCGGTAAGAGAGATGTAACGACGCCGGGGTGTTTTCTTCTCACTCTAATAGTAGCTGCAGGGTTGAAGACGGACCGGTTTACCCTTGCATCAGGGCAAAGTAGCAAAGGCGTTGTCCTTATCTTTTTTGTGAAACAGGGAAAGCCTGCTTTTGGGTCCATGTAAACCACCTTCCAAAACCGCTTTTTGATGCTTGAGGTCATGTGGTGCAGCCTAATTGGTCGAAGCCAGACTTTCCCTTCCAAATCTCAAATTGGAACACTGATCTGAAAGAGCGCGGCACTGAAAGGTGCAGACTCCCGAGCAAGCTCCATGTTCTTTCGGTGTCAACTCCAGCTTACTAAGTTCCTGACACCCTTCTTTGCGCAGTGGCTGCCCCGACCTGCTCAAGGAATTCGTTCAAAGGGGCGTCGAGCAGCAGATCCTGCCACTCCCAGTGAGCACCTTTCGGCATCTCGTTCTTCCTTTCTCTCCTTTGCGCCGAGTCCTTCAGCAGACTCTTTGCACAAGATGCTGAAACCAGGCCCTTGAAAGAAACTTTCCGGACACGAGGTCGGTTTGTAACAAAGCCCCGTTTTCACAACAAAATCGTCCAACTGCAGCTATCAATGCACTGCTTTTCTGCGTGCTAATCTGAGGAAGAATTATCTCCTGCAATCTGCCAGCAAAGTCCTCGGATCATGGGGAATCCCCCCATTGTGACGCTTTAGACAATTGATGTCCTCCTTTCTAAAAGCTGACTGAGCAACAGTCTACGGATTTCCTCCTGAGAGGGTGCGCTTGAGCTCTTTCTGTCCCTTCAAGTACATTTTGGGTTCCTCGAGACAAGATTTTGGCAACCCAGACCGATCAAGGATTTTGAAACAACTCTCCATCTTTCATATTGCCAGGCTTGACTTTAGCGCATGCATCACACTTTTCAATGCTGAACAGCGCTCCACACTCACCGTACTATGAGCTTTCTTAAACAACCATCTTCAGGTCTCATCCTGCTCCTTCTGTTTTCGTCACAGGGAAGCGTTGGACTCATCTGCGGCGGACCGCCCTGCCAGGGAGCGAGCGGCTTCAACCGCTTCCGGAACAAGGACGAGCCCCTTATGGACCCCAGGAACAAGCAGGTCATTGGTGAGCTGCTGAAACCCTGTTCCTGCTGAGTAGACAGTTAAAAATCATTCCGACCCCCTTCGGACTCTCAGTTTCTTATGACTTGTAAAGGGGGCTCAGCCGTATCGAAGTAACGTCCATTGTGTCGTCAAATCTCGAGATATCATCTGACGTCTCCCCGCAATTGTAATATGGTGAGTGGAGGTCGATTTAGTCGTCTGCTTGCCCGCAAGGCCCTGAATCTTGACTTGACGGCCATTTGACGCTCGCATCTCAAGTCAACGTGTTGCAGTCTGGAGGAAGCCGGGGTTGAATCGGTTTTGTAAATTCTTGTCTTATCCTTGACCTCGTCTTCTTTCTTTGCACCTTCCCAGTCTTCATGGACATCGCACAGCTCCTAAGGCCTCGCTACGTGTTGATGGAGAACGTGGTAGACATCCTCAAGTTCGGGGACGGGATCCTAGGGCGCTATGCGATCAGAAGGCTGGTGAACATGGGCTACCAGGTACGGTTTGTCTCGTCGTATAACTTCGTTCGTCACCCCGCTAGCCTGACTGATTGAGCCTTGACGATGACCATGTGAAACTTGGGGCACTTGCTTTCCCGAATCCGAAGCTTGCGGAAACATGCTTTGTGCGTTTGCTTGAGCCGTCGGGGATTTCGTTACCTAGTTGGCGTGTTTGAATTGACAGCATTCGTCACTAAGCTGCTGGAAGCAAACCGTTAGTAAGCTGATGGAATCAAGCAGGCAGATTGCGCAGGGAACGTAGGATGGAATCACGAAAGGTTTTATGGTTTCCTAGTGTCGATGTATGTGGACACGAAAAGAGGTTGATGACGAAAAAACCCCTGGAAAGCCCAAGTTGGCGTCGCCCATGTCTGAGGTTCCTTGCACCCTTTTGCAGTCGCGCGTTGGACTTCTGGTGGCGGGCAGCTTCGGTGTCCCGCAATTCAGAATGAGGACCTTCGTGTGGGGGGCGGCTCCAGGAGAGGTACGTGCTCCTACCTTCCTTCACCTATCCAGCTTTTGTAACAACAGCCGCAGGCTATCTCTTTTGTGCAGCCTTTTCTGAGCGTACCGTTACATATAGGGCAGACATCTTTCCAAGTGTTTGTGCCTCTTTCTGTACATGGACTCACTGACGACCGGACAACTTTCATGTTTTCTGCCGTCCAAACATACATGGTTAGCAACCGTTTCAATGGATCAATCTGAAAAAAGGGGAAGGGGTGACGAGGAGCAGAAGCAACGCATCACACAGTCCGCTCATCCCGAAATGCCTGCCCAGTATGAAAAACGTCGAACAGTGAAACCGTTCGTGATCCGTGAGCAGAAGAAAACATTTTCACTCCTGCTCCTGCCCTTGCCTTCCTGCACTTATAAAGGATTCTCAGCCGCCGTGCATAGCAGACGCTCATCGGCGGTTTTCCTTCAGCTTCTCCGTCTCAATTCTGACGACGTCCACAAGTTCCTCTCCCCCCCTTCCAGGTGCTCCCCCCGTACCCCCTCCCGACGCACATGGTCGAGAAGGTGCGCAACCACGTTCCCATGGACTGGACGCACAGCATGGTCGCATACGACGAGGACACGCACGAGGGCGCCAACCTGTCCCCCGCTCTAGTTCTTGGCGACGCCCTGCGCGACCTCCCGCCCATCGAGAACAACGAGCGGCGCGACATCGTCCCGTATACGGGCACGCCCGACTGCGAGTTCCAGCGGCAAGTGCGCCGCCCGCCGCCAGGTGGGTTAAGTTTAACCAGAACTAGGGTTTAGCAAATATGAATCACAATTGGAGTACGGGTATCCAGGGTGGTTTTGATTTGAGCTGCCTCACGGACGTATCTCTTAGATCACTGGGTAAAGGGGGTTAAGAGGTTTACTGTGTAGAGAGTTTAAAGCTGCCTACACGTTAGTTCAAGAGGACAGTAAGTTTTTCATCAGAACGGTTGATTGGCACTGTGAAGGAGCAAGTGAAGTTGAAAACAGCAACTTTGCTACTATTTCGTTCTTCCTAAGGCCCTTCTTTTATCAATCGCTGCCGGTCTTTGGCTGGACATTTCTGCGAAAAAAGAGGGAGAGCGAAAGGAGGGAGAGCGTCACATCCAGACCAGGAACTCGGACCAGAAACACGAACGAACGGACGATCGCGAAGACTGTAGCCGACTCCTCTGTTTCGGTTGCAGGGAAGAAGATGGTGGAAGATTTCCTGGTCGTGAACGACCACCACTCGCTGATCATGAACGAGGACGACCTTGGCCGGTCATCAATGATCCCCAAGAAGAAGGTAAGCCACTTTCGTTCAGGGTGCAGTTTTTTGTCGAATAAGCATCCACGTTGGCCTTGAAAGTGGCCCGTCCCCTTTTGGTGAACGGTCGCCCGGCCTTCTCTTTAAAGGCATGTCGTCGAAGTGGCAGCCACAGAGCAATCTTAAGAAACCTCCATTAGCGTACAGTGCGTTATCCGAGGCACCCACTGGCAGCAATCGTGTTTGTCCGGAGGATGGAGATGCCTTGCATATCCATCAAAGAATGGACATTGTATCGACAAATGTTCAATGGACGAGACGTTCAAGGAACGACCATCAAACGCAGTGACTCGATGTAGCAATCACAAGAAATGTCAACTCGGTCGACGCATATTCCTGATGTCGCAAGCCTGACGTCATCTCCATTTTCGGACGCAGGGGGCCAACTTCCGTGACCTTCCTGGAGTGGAGACTTCGGACGACAAGACCGTCATCCGGACAGCACGGCCTCTCCTCCCGTCCGGAAAGCCAATCGTGCCCGACTATGCAATCAGCTTCATCAAGGGCAAGTCGTTCAAGTGAGCAAAGACCGTCCTTCCCCACGTATTAGAAGCATCTTGTCTGTTATGTGAAGAGCGTCTGGCATCGTATTTGCTGGTTTGGTACATCACAGAGCCCCCGACCCTCTGCTTATGAAAGATAGATCTTTCCACGAGCTGCTTCTGAGACCCCGGGTCTCACAGTGGTTATTTTTCGTCTTGTTTGGATAGGTGCGTTTCCGTTTCAACCATTGCTCTCGGAGTCGCTGGAGACACCTTTTCAGTCACTGGGTGCTCTTGCTCGGTACCTAACCACAGCAGAAACCTCACAGCCGTGTTAACCCCGGCCCTTAACCCGGAAGTTGCTAACCCGGATTTTTTCCGTGCAGGCCCTTCGGCCGCCTGTGGTGGGACGAGACGGTCGCGACAGTGGTGACGCGCGCAGAGCCGCACAACCAGCGGGTGCTGCACCCTGACCAGGACCGCGTGCTGAGCATCCGAGAGAACGCGCGCCTACAAGGCTTCCCTGACTACTACAAGCTCATGGGGGACCATCCCAAGAACAAGTGAGTTTCACGTACTCATGGATTTTCAGTCCCGCGCACCGATGCGTGATATACCCGTGCGGACAGTTTCCTGGCGAGTGGCGGCAGTAGCTTTAGGCAGTTGGTCAGCATCTGAGTTGGCCGATCTGCAGGATGTATCTTGGCAGACCAAGACAAAAACGAAAGAAGATGTCCTTGGAAAGGTTGCATGTCACCGTGGCCTCGTAGTTGGTCCTACAAATGCCGTATCGTCATGGCGAATCTTTCCCTTTTGCCTCTCATCTGGAACGACGCATGATAGCTCCTGGCTTCAGCCTCGTATCATCTGTCACGGCATCTGCAGATTTCAGGATCTTTGAGCGTGCCGCCTTGGTTTCACAAGGAACCTGACCGTTCATTCAGAGGAAGTGGCAAACGAGGGCAAATCGTTCTTGGTGTTTCTGGTGTCAACTACCTATGGAGCTTCTGAAGTTCTCTCACGTGAATGTCGGTTAAAAACCTGGGGTAAAAACCTCCGTATTGCCCTTGATGAGGCTTTGTGCTGACATTCAATTCGCCTACAGGTACACCCTTGTCGGAAATGCGGTGGCGATGCCAGTTGCAGAGGCGCTTGGCAAAGCTATGGCGCTGGCCATCTTCAAAGACTGGGACGGTTCCCAGCCTCTCTGCAAGGTCACCCCTTGGACCCAATAGATAGCTGTCGTTGAAAGATCGGTTCACCTTATGTATGTCGGAACATGATCAGAGTCCGAAAGCTGATGATTTATGGTGCGGTTCGCTAGGCAAGGGCTCTGCCCTTAGAGAATGTTAGGATGCTAGGTCTGTTTGCAGGGCAAAACAAGAGCGCAAAGCTCGGCGCCGTCTGATCCACTTTGGAACGGTTGCGCAGTAAGGCACGATAAAGTCAAAAGGGCAATCGCTTTCTCAGATGACAGGTAGCAACGCAGCTGCAGTTCTCCAGAGACTAACTGAGAGTAGCGACATCCGTGTTTAACCAGTCGTGCTGCATTTCTATCCTTGCATTTTCGAGGAAGGGTCCCAATTACAGTTCAAGCGTGCTAGCGGCAAGTTGCCAGATAGTGTCGTGATACAGAGCAGATGCTGGGTGCCAGGTGGATATACCTACTTGTAGGTATTGCCGTCAGTATGGACCGCATGAGAGTGTGGTTGCTGTATCTTGATGTAACTCATGATACGCCGTTGAAGCTCATGCTTACACGGACACTTCTTTTAAATTCGCGAAATCAAAGGCATGGGGCGGGTGTGCAGGTACAATATGGCAGTGTTAATGCACATTATTCGCATGGCCATGTTTCTACAACGAACACGTGTAACGTGAATATCACCCTTTTGCTGCACATGTACGGTGGCCTCAATCCCACCCCTGTCAATGGTCATTCAAGATCCAGACAACATGAAGGGGCAGGTCTTCACAAATCTATACGCACCACTGACCAGTCCATACGTTGAGCGCAATTATCAGAGCTAAAGCTTGATCTACTATACCGTTGCGGCGTGCATGACGGTCATATATATGCACATATCCATATGCAAGCCCAGGTGAAATAATTCTATCATGCATGTCATGCGAACGATCGCGGGCCGCCTTTATCCATGTAGCCAGACATAGTATGTGTTGCGCGCGTTGCGGTAGGCAGGCCCAAAGTTCCTGCGTACATGATATCGATCTACAAGCATAAAATCACTTTTAAGTCATTAAGTCAAACTCGGAGCTGCGCAACCAATCATGATCTGAATTAATCAGGCTTTAAGCAAACAATCAGGCTATTGTTGAAGCCTGTGCCACACATGGTGCGCGGCGCCCAGCCATGTGCCCATGGGCTTTTTGAACTGCTACGTGTGATTGATTGCAATACAAAGTGCCTAATCAACCGTTGCCATGATGCATGCTCAATGAGCCTGCCAATGATGCCCATCAATTTGAGGCTAGCTGATCGAAGTTATCACAGCTGTGCCAGAAAGAGGCAGTGGAAATGAAGCGAAATCAAAGGTTGCAGGATCGGAATTGCAAACATGGCCCAGCTATCAACTTTGCCGGTCAATTAAGGCGTGTCTCAAAACATCGTGTAACCATCATCATAACTTACATGAGGCCCCGTTCGACACGGCGGAGCATCTTCCTTGTATTCTTGGCAACATGTCCATCGGCGCTTCCAGTTTTTCCTTCCAGAGTTTGGTCTGTTGCCTTCTTGATTCCATCTGTAAACTATGATTCCACTATCTTCAGTCCAATCGCCGTCTACTCCTTGGTGAGGAGGAGCAAGGGCAAAGTAGCCTCTATCACCTGACGAAGCAAGAAGGTGGAAGCAGACTGCCATCAATTGGAAAGAAAGGCTTGCCTTCCTTGCCCCTTCGTCCCTCCAAAACTGAGGCACTGATTTTGGAGGGGCCAACCACGCAAACCATGTGTTGCGCGCTACATCACAGTAAGCGTTCCAATGGAAGAACTTGAAACACAGTCTATAGAAATTTCATCCATGCAACTGACATAGGAACTTTCATCAATGGCTGTTACAACAGACTCATCACCCTAGACAGTGCTTTGAGATCAACGGTCGGGCACCTCAGTGCTTATGATGGCAAGTTCCACCATCATGTCTCTGAACTTCTGATGCATCAGGGGCAGGTCATTTCAGGGAAAATGTGGTTTTAAAAATCAGCTCAGGGCCCAACGTGGTACGATCGTCCCATTGCTCACAGAAAGTCTCGGGGTCCTGAATCAGTCCAGCTTTTATGAGAGATTGGGCAGAAGCTATCATGCCATTGAGTTGGAGACTCAGTAGCCATTGAATCACAGCCACGCTCTAATTGCTAAGAACAAGGGCAACTAGACAAAGTATAGGACATGGAGGAAAAAGTAATGTGCGTCTAATTGCATACATACCTGTAGTATGTCCATGGAAGCGGCATGCATCTTCCCGATTCTCATCATCAGTATACTTAACGCCGCAACGAAGACATGTCTTCACGCCCCTAGCAACTCGCTCTGCTCCCCTGCCTGCCAAAATGCCCCCCTCACAGCTAACATTCACAATCCTGGCACGCTTTGGTGTTGCAAGAAAGTTCCAAGAGCAAAGAGGTGTGACAGCGCTTTGCTTCAGGGTGAATTGCCTGCGACATCTATATCGATCCAACCTAAGCACCGGAGGTGGTTCTATGTGGCATCGGGCCCCATTCTGCCAAGATTCCACCAAAATAAGGGCAGCATTTTCTGCTTGGCGGAGGCAGACGGCTTGCATTCTCCCCTTCTTCTGCTCCTCACAAACCCGCTCCTTCAAGAATTCCTCTGCAAGGAAGGGGGAAAGCAGTCCTCGGACTTTCATGGAGCAACTTTGTGGGGGAACATGTTGCTAATTTCCAAAACCCTAAACCCCTAAAACCCCAACACTCGTAACTAGCAACCACCTTTCGCAGATTGTAATGGCGACTTTCCCACCTTTGGCATTAGCTGCCAAACGCGCCTTCCTTTGATGACCAGGCGCTTTCCCTTAGTAGTCAACTTTCTGCAAAAGTTACTCGCTCCGAGCATTCCTTGTCCGCGCTTTCCCTTCACCTCATGTCTGCTCCCTGCTTCAATGCGACTTCGGTGGACTTCTTGCGGCACAACCTGGTGGTGCAATTTCAATGCCGTTCATTTTCTGCCAACAATGCACTATCTTTGATCCCTCTGCGATGCATCAGGAGAAACCATTATTGGAAATCTGAGGAGCTCACAAGAAGACCGGGGCTCAGTGATCAATGCAAATCGCAATGGTGGCCAAACAAATACTTTCTGAGCAATTGTGGCCGCTTGACAAGCCATCATGCCTCTATAGGGATAGAAGCGATGGACTCAGGCAGACTGGGAAGAGGAGAAAGAAAGGGCGAAAGAGATAAGGACACAAGTGCTTATCTTCCTAAAGTTGCAGAGAAAGCAGGTGCCAGCTTGAGGCTGGGGGGCGTTCTGGACAAATACATTTTGCGATCGATGCTTCCGGGTTTTGTCATGGCGCTGGCGCTCTGTGCCTTTCTGGGGATGTCGCTTGGAGCGCTTGTGGAGCTGATCAGAGAGGTGGTCAGTGCTGGTGAGTTTGGCAATTTTCGGTCCCCTTTTGTCTCTATCTCATTCTCCCCCTTTTTCTGCCTTCTCCCTGTTCTATATCATTCTCCCCCTCTTTTCTGCCTTCTCCCGATGCTGTCTCATTTGTCCCCTCTTTTCTGCCCCCTCCTGATTATATCTCATTTCTTCCTCCTCCTGTTTGCCTTTTCATAACTCTAGGTCTTCGCCCCCTCTGTTCTGCCCCCTCCTTACATTATATCTCATTTCCCCCCTCGTTTCTGCCCTTTCCTGACACTAGCTCACATTGCCCCTCTTGTAGCCCAATGTCAGCCCTGCATTCTAGTTTATCCAGAGGAACCACTGCAGCTTAACGCCGCTACCCTAGGAGTTTAATAGTTTTTGCCACCGGGGCAATGCCATCCATTCACTCCAGCGACATACCCTGCCATTTCAATCGGAGCAGACACCTGCATCCTGGACAAAATTTTCGTACGGTGCTCAGATTGTCAGCTTGCCCCTGAGTATGCAGTGTTTCTTACTCCACCCACTTCGATGTCACAATCATACCTCTCCATCTGGAGCTAGAACTCCCTGTCCAGAATTCACCCCAAGAGGAACTGGAAGTGCCTGCTCCAACACTTCTGTTCTATCCACACCCCTGAGCTTTTCTTCACCATTAAACCCTTGTCCTACAGAACGCAAATCTCCATGCATTTCAACCATCACTTCTAACGCTTCCCTTATGCTCCATCTTCAGGACTCCCCCTGAGAGTAGCTTTCGGCGCCGCCCTACTCCAAGCCCCGCGTTTTCTATCCCTCGCCCTCCCACTCGCTACGCTCTCCGGAGTCCTTTTTGGGTTAGGGAGCCTCCAGGAAAGGGGGGAGCTCGGAGCGCTCGCATCTGCGGGAGTGTCAAACGCGCGCTTGCTGATGGCCCCTCTGCTGCTCGCGACACTGGCGGGGCTGCTAACCCTGGGGGTTAACGAGGTATTGATACCGGTCAGCAGCACGAGGTTAGCGGTGCACTGGTTACAAGGGTTCTGATATAGAGCTTCTCTGAAGAAGGAAGCGTCTTCATGGGAGGACTCCGATGGGTTGATTGGTCGGATGTCCAGTTGCTTTGATCAAGCTCGTTGGACTGGCAAGAGTAGCTGTTCTGGACAAACCGTTATACAACCAGATCTCAAGAAGCTCCTCGATGTTTCCTGATGCGTGGACTGACAAGTCTCTGTTCCCGACCTTGTCCCCATTTTGGGTGTAGCCTCAGAAGCCTTGCATTGATTCTCCACCATCGGTTCTTTGCACAGCAGAAATTAACACCCCCTCCCAATCGGCCGGAAACACATCAGCTACGAATCTATCACTTCATCTGTCTCACAACCAGCTCATACACCAACAACTCCGGTTCGATTTGCCCCAACAACTAATGCAGATTGCCCCCATTCACGCTCGTTGTGAACTCTTTCTGCAGAGCGCACCAGCTTGTAGAGACTGCGCTCACCACCGATCTGCACACTCTCAAGGCAAGGGATGACGTTATCTATCACGAGTACGGGCCGGCAGCGGGCCGAGCCGGGAAGCAGCTGCAGCGGGTCTGGTACGCGCAGAAACTAGAGGGGGGAAGAATGGAACGCGTCACGGTTCTGGACTGCAGCCCCGACGGAGAGGTGCATCGGGTGCGCTTCCGATATCACTCCGTTCCAATTCATCGTCCTGCCGCTAGGCCGTTCGTTTTCCAGTGCGTTCCATCGTAATGATCAGCTGAGCAACAGTCTATCCTCCACATTTTGTTTGCCGGACATTCATCGTTCTTGCGCTACCGGGTTTGTCCTATGACTTGCTGTGATCGAGTGTGTTCCGTCTTTGTCCATTTCATGCAGCGTCTTGAGGCGCTTCAAGGTCTTCTTCACTTCAGAGGCTGTCTTCCAATCCAGTCCCTCTCGACTGGATTGTCATTGTGTGAGCGTCGATTTTGGTAGCAGCATCGACTTGCTATATTCTCAGAGACGAGTGCGTTTCTGCGTTCCCTTAATCCTCCTAGGACTAGCATAACTGTAAAGTGGAAGAACCCTGGTTTCCGGCCCTTGACCTTGCGAAAGGATGCTCGCAAGTCACTCAGCATTTCATAACTTCCTCTCCGTTTCGGAAACATGCTAACCATTGCAGAGTAAACCAATACACGTATATATGTCAGTACTGTCAGGATGATGGACCCTGGATTTGCGGTGACACATGTTTCACGTCTGATCGAGCCCTGCTTCGGCGAATCAGGTGCTGACAGCTGGCAGCTGCGCATGGGACTGGGCCGCGAAGGTGTGGAGATTCCACGACGCCACGCTCCTACACATGGATCGCACGGGAGAATCCAAGTCAACGCTCCAGGTGAAACATTAGATCGCAATCTATCGGGACGCTTCAGCTGGCCTGGAATTGCCTTTGCAACATCCGGTTCCTAAGTGATAACTCCAGTCCGCAGATATTCTGCCCTCGTTCATTGAATATTACACAGTTCAGGCTGGCGCTTACGAAATTACTGTGGAGCGTGCACTTCTGATGACGAAACGAAGTAAGTGACGTAAAGCAGTTCTGCCCTCAAGCCAAAATAATATTAGCGACTCGCTTCTTGATTACTACTGCGAAGTCCGGGTTCCACTCTCTCCTCGTTACTCATCAGTCAAGAGATAGGTTTATCTCTAGCGTCGCATCTGAGAAGGTTTTGGAGTAGACGGGGAGTAGCGGCAAACGAATGCCGAAGCACGGAAAGAAGAGACATAGAAAGAGAAGATGAGAGCAACTCTCTGCCCTGCTCCATTGATCGCTGCGTTTCTCAATACTTGTGTCACAGAAGCGTTCCGCTGCCTAACGTAGCGAAAGCTGGTAACTTCTCAAGTTTTCTCCGTTGAAAAGTACGTTTTTCTATATCAATAAATGCGGCGCCGAACCGTCCCGATGTCCAATGTGGCGATAGCGAGTACTTCGTCAAGCGTTTCCACTGATTGCTGCGTTTCTCTGTTCCTTACAGATGCATAAGCCTGCGCGCCTTGACGCCCGAAAACTTGAAAGCAAGTACTTTGTCTAGCGTTTCCGGTGATCACTGCGTTTCCCCCTTTTAGCAGATGCAAAGCCTAAGCGTCCCGATGCCCAACGTCGCGAAAGCCGCTGTGCGAGCCACTGCAGACCTGCACGATCAAACCCGAGGGGAGATACAGAGGTCAGCATTCATCCCGCTACACCATTCTGCGCTTACCTTTCAGACGCTCCCAATAAGTGGCCGAGGCGATATTTTTTTGCCATAGTCAGCTAGCGATAACGGCCTAGATCGCCGTGTAAGAGGCCTGAGGTTGGATTGTTCTGAGCAACTGAGATTTATTTTCTGAGATCTGGCTTTAGAGGCAAAGAGGCGCTCTGGCATTCATTGTTGGCGACCGCTCAATAAGCTTCACGATGGTGTCAAGGGAGTTAGCAGCTTTTCAGCAGCCCGTCAAAAGACGCATCTCCTTGACCCCTAACAGAGGATCCGTTTTGATCAGAAGTCTGTGCGACAAAGTGTTCCGAACTTGGAGCTCTCTTTCCATGCTCCATCTCTTGCAATTCTGGTAAGTTTTGAAGTAGGAAACCCGGTTCTTGATCCTGAAACCCTTCAATAGTATCCATGTTTTCTTCTGCCCAGAGTTATCGAAAGAGAGAGGAAAACTGGAGCAGAATGCGGACCCGGGAGCCCAGCTTGGAAGGCGAGGTGGCTATTAAGTCAACGGGATGCATCCGTGCTGACGTGTGCCATTTACGCGATGGTAAGCGAAGCGAAAGGAGCGTCGGCAGCTAGACTTACCGCCACGTGTACACTGTTGCGGTGTGGCAGAGCTTTTGTGTGCCGAAGCCGTTGTGCCTTGTGAAAGCCAGAGTTCCTATCTGTGCGACAGTTATAGTTTGAAGGCTTGCGGCTTTTGCCTAAAGGACCGAGTGGCAGACTTCGATCAACGCTCGCTGCAAGTCATCGATTATTGCGCCTTTTTTGGTTGTTCGTGTGCCTTGAGAGCGACGCTCATTTGGGACTATCCAAGTAGCTATCGACCCCGAGTGGTCGTTTTCGTCTCGATCAGATTTTTGGCTGGTGCATAGCTGGCGATGAGAGCAGCCGCTCAGGGGCTTCCCTATCACCATCTGCCGATGCATCTGTGTACGCCCGCCTTCGACGCATTTGAAGGCCATGCGTTTTCACGGCCCATATCGTAAGTTTGAGTATTTCTGCGTTTTACATCTTTTTCAGGTGGGCGCGATGTCAACATTGAGCTCATCTCCGAGGAATAGCCGAAGCGATCCTTTCAAAAAGGCCGCCCTGTTACTGCTTCCGTACACTCTCGCTGCTAAGGGCTTGTCACGGTTGAGCCAACAAGGAGCGCTTGCCCCAAGCGTTGGTGCATGGGCGCCCCCGGCAGTGACTCTGATCGGTATCATACTTTGGGCAACTTTGCTTGAAAGGACGTCCTGAATTTCGAACGAGTAACTAATCAACGGAATGGAAAGGTTTAGATATAAGCTGACGGATCCTGCGTGCGTGACCATGTGTCTGGCACCAGGCCATGACATGACTACCGAATGATTCGCATACGGTCATTATGAATCTCTTTGACAACAATTACGCTGGTTTCACGCAAACCTTACCGTCACATGTATGACTGTGCATGTGGCTCATCATTATCAAAACGATGTTTGCATGTACACAGGCGTGCCCTTCATTGTGTCGTAATGGGATGATCGAAGGTATATGATTGCATGATCTAATATCATGCACTATGCTTAGATAGTATCATTGCAAAATATACATATTAAAATTCATTCAATTCTCCGTTTCATATGCAAGTTGAAGATCTATGCTCAGTCTATATATCATGCATCGCCGCCTAGACGATCAAGCGCACATCTAGTTTGGGACGCGATTGCAATCATTTGTGCATGCATAATGGCGGCCTTTGCATGGCGCATGCCAGTCACTTGTGCTGTATCGTAATATATAGTGACTCGCGAATTAACGCGATATCATCGACATATGGTCTCTTTCCGCCGGGCGGCTGCATACTAATATCATGACCATTCAACATGTCGGCAGCAAAATATTCCAATAAATGCAAGATTGATCGGATTAAAGTATTATTTAACCACCGTGCACACATGTGAGTCTTGCAGCCAGTGCAAAAATCCCCTCAATTCATGAAGCTGATTGCATATGATGATCGCGGAAAAAGTACACATACAGGCAAACCCTCGTCCGACATTCCCACCATGCCGGCCGCAGAATCACGATACCAATAACCCTCGCATGTGACCTATAATTACGGCCAAAAGAACTCCATGAAAGATTGAGTTGATTGAATGATCAGCCAAGAAAGCCTCAATTTCTTGAATCTCAAAGTTGCCCTAATTCCAGGATTTGTCCATAAAATCAGGGCTCATAATTGCCCACCTACGAAAAATGGCTGCCATTTAATCACTTGTCTGCTTGAACATTTCTAGTGAACATGACAAGAAGCTACATCTACACTTTGCTTTTCCACAAACGAGAGGCGAAGAGGAACAAGAACACCTACACCAAAACAAGTGTTTTAGCTCTTAGCTGTAGCATTTCAGCTTAGAGCGTTGCTTAGCCATCCGCTTCTATTGTCCACAAACAGTACACTACCCCAGATTGGTTCCAAACACAGTCACCTCAGTCATCGAGACTCGGAACCGCGACCGCACGCCTCTGACTAGAGGAGTGGCGACGCGTTCCTCACGCGTCCCTGACCCACGTGGCTTCTCGCAGTACGCCAGCGACTATCTTAAACCCACCCCTAAACCACCCCCCACAAATTACAACTAGTGTAAACGCGCTCCAGGTCGTGTACATAGGCCCTAACTCAAACGCATGGTATATTTACAACGCTTGTGCCGCAGCCCGCTGACAGGCAGAGCCGGGCCCAATCGCAATGTGGATTTTTCATTGGGAGCTCTCACTAGTGAGCAGCCCCAGCAAGCTAACGGCGCCGTCCATCTCCTCGTCCACCGGCGCCGGCTTCTGAACGACTAGCCGTCCCTGCACCTCGACCGAGCAGCAGGGACACCTAGACGTTCTCACCAATCCCTCATTTTCTACCACCTGTCCCTCGCTTTCTACAATAACCTTAACACCAGTCTCGGTGGTCGTTGCCGATACAACATCCGACGGCCCCTCGGTCTTGGGAGCATCCATGGCCGGGGTCAAGTTGCGTGCGGAAACGCCGTTCGCTCGTGGGAGCAACTCGGCGGTGCATGTGCCACAGTACAAGTGGCCGCATGGCATGAGCGCGGCGCTGGCGGGCTTGCCAGAGACGCACAGGGTGCACGCGTTCGCCTTCTGGAGCAGTGCCAGCTGGGCCTGCAATGATGACAGACGTACGTCAGAACTAGAGTAGCGAGAACGGCAGCGGACCCATTCTTTTGTTTGACCTGGGACTGGCGGTATTGTTAGGAGCTCTGATGTACTAACGACCTGGTATCCGTGACCTTCTGAGAGCAGCTGAGCTCCTTTCCGACCTCTCAATTCCCCTGTCCTCGAACAACTCAGAGCAGCAGCGCAGTCTCAGAAACCTTCATAGAGACGTCTCTATTGATTAGCTCCTCGACATCGACAAAGGCAGGAGTGCGTTGAACCGTTCAGCCCGCTCTTCCATCCAGAAAAACTGATCTAGTACTTATTTGGGCTTTTAAAAACAATCGCTAAGGCCTGGTTTCGAGCCCCAAGCCAAAATCGTTGCTGTTGCACACAAGGATTACGGGCGAATGAAAAACTCTTCAGACGCAGCTCCTTGAAGCCACTCCACTTCCAGCCCCCGAGGATTTTCCAACCGTCACATTGCCTTCGTGATTGACAACTAGATGCGAGAGTTTCTCACTTGCAGCTCCTTCTTCTCAGCCGTGAGCACCGCCACCTCCCCACGGAGCTCCTCTGCGGACGTCCGGAGGTCGGTCAGATGGGCGTCCTGCTTCGCCAGCAGTAGCGCCTGGTGCTGGAACTGGTCCGCAAGTTTGAGGGCCTGCGAAATTGAACGACGACGAGCCTTGTCAGCGAGTGTGATTCGTTCGATTCCTTGAATAAGAGTGGCATGTTGCCTGGTGTAGAGTCTCGAAAGTGGTCCTCTGGCCTGAGGGTGTACAAAACGCACAGCATCCTCTAGCAAGAGGTACAGATCAAACAGATATCGGGCGGGGTGGATTGCAGAAGTAGTAAAAAAATGGACGAGAAAAGGGGCATGGTCAATCGGCAGGTAGCCCTGGCCTCGCGGGTGTAACCTGTGAAACACATCTCCCACCTTCGCTGATGAACAACGTACGAAAACCTGAAATAACTCCCAAACAATTACAGCACAAGAACGAAACGGTAACATTAAGGATCGACGCTCACCTCCGGTTGCAGCGCGCAGCCAACCGCCCGCTCCGCCTGCACCGCCTTCCTCAGCTTCTCAACTGCGGCCGCATCCTCCCCCCCCTCCGCCTCCCTTCTCGCCTCCTCCAACCGCTTTTCCGCCATAAGCCGCCCCTCCCTGGCCTTCATAAGCTCTCGGCCAGCGGCCTCGTTCCTCTCCTGCTGCGCCGCGACCGCCCCCCGGCTTTGCTCCAGGCGCCTCCGCAATTCCTCCACGCCTAGATACGCCGCGTCGTCCTCCTCCTCGCGACGACCCCCCCACTCCGTTTCGGGGGGGTCGATCTCCCTCTTCGGCCGGGGGCTGTCCTGGCTCAGATCCGACCCCTGTTTCACGTCCGCCACGGGGCCCCCCCGGCTGCTGAACGGCCGTCGCCGCATCTTCGTTTTCCAGGTTAGGCCTAACCCGGACCCCGCTAACCCGTCCCGCCGGGTCTCGTTCTCCTCTTCGGAGCGCTTCCTCTTCAGCTGCAGCCGCATCAGGATTTCCATGCTGCTCAGCGTATCGTCATCGCCCGCGCCTGACCCGTTTTGTTTACCCACTAACCCGTTTTGCAACGCCGCTTTTGCGCGCCGCGCTTCGGTGTGATATTGGCAGTGGCGAAGGCCACTTTGCCGGGGGCGTGGGCACTGCCAACCGGTGCCTCCCTTCATAACGCACCGCTGGTTCTCGGTAGGGGGTTCGGGATGGCTGGCCTTGAGGGGGGGGGAGAGGGTGGTGACCTCAGAGCGGATAGATGGCTCTTGCTTGGGCTGAAGATCTGCAAAGTAAGGAGATGCTCAGTTAAAGAAGCTCTCGTTAGTGTTGAAAAAAACTGAAGGCGGACCTTCGCCAGAAGGAAGGCATTGGGATCTGTTTGAAACAAAAAGGAAGGGCTGCAGTGTATGCTACCATTGGCGCAATGAAGTTTCTCGTGATCCTTGGAAGGACTCAGAAAGGCCGTCGAATCACACCCAAGACATGGGGAAAAAGCTCGAATGGCAGGGACAAGACACAGATTTGCGACAAGAGTGACAATAAGATCGGCCCTATGCACTCTGACAACAAGGACGTCTCAACCAAGTTTCCGAGAGTGGAACACAGATGTTTGAAAGATCTGCAAAGACAGTGTCGAGAACCTTTTTGCCCTCGGATCCGATCACGAAGACAGACATGCGCGTTGTAAGAATCCCGACTCCTCCTCTGATCTGAGGTATAAAACGAGACCAATCTCCGACAGCAACTTCTTTACTGCCCTAAACCAACCCCCGTCTCCTCACCTGCCCGGTTCTGGTTGGGACTCCTGACCTCCTTCGCACTCTCCGACGACTCCCCCGGTTCCTCCGACAGCTGTGTCCCGTGATACAGCTGGCTGTCGTCATCGTCCGACATGTACGTAGGCCTCATTCCGCCGAGCTCGTCCGTCTCCGAGGGCAGCACCAAGTGCATCATGGAGCCGCTCCCCTCCTTCGCAGGGCCTCTCGGACTCCGGACCCCGTACGACTTCGCCCGGACCTTCCCGAGCCGCGAGTCAACGTAGTCCGGCTCGGAGCTGCCGTCCGAGTCGCGTCCGAATTGCGTCCGGTGCACGTTCGAGCTCCGCCCCCACTTTTCGGGCAGTGCAACCCCCCCTCCGGGGTGCTTCGGCTTCCGCTCCCGTTTCCGGACGGTCCCGTCTTTCTGGACCGCGACGCCCCCGTCCGCAACAACCGCCGCCTTCTTGGACTTGCGCGGGTAGACCAGGTTCGGGAAGGCCTTGCGCCACTGCTTCTCGTGGCCGTCCCAGTTGCGTTGGTGGTGCGCGCAGTAGCTGTAGCCGGAGACCTTGCGCTGACTGCAGCGCCAGCCGCGCCCGTTGGACTTGACGCAGCGCTGGGAGTCGGGGACGGCGGGGTGGGCCTCCGCGCTGCGGGGGTCGACCTGGAGAGAAGTGTAAAGATTTTCAAGATAGAACAGAAAAACAGCGCTTCTTCTTCTATTTCCGTCCTTCTTCAGTTGTATTTTTGGTTTAGCTGCCTGCTTATGACTTGCAGGGATGGGGAAGAAAGTAGAGAACGTCAGAGAGGGTATAAAACTGGCTTCAATCCTGGTTCCAGTCTTCGTCCCTGCCCGCTCATCTTTCCTCATGGTTGACGACCTTATTTGCAATATTGCAGTCAAGCTGGGGGGCCAAAGAAAAGAGAAGCACCATAGAAAGAAAAGAGCCCAGAAGATGCAGCAACATAGCCAGCATTGCTTCGAAGTGTTTGCTTTGTACTCGTGTCGCATATGTTGCATGCAATGCCTTCTAAGCAAGCTGCTGAACAATGAGTCTATTGTTCATCAAGCACGCAAAATGGCCTGTAGCTGATCACATAACATCTAGACCGCAAAGTCAATGAAATGAGTCCTTGAGGCTTTCAAGCAGTTGAAATAAACCACCATGGAAAAGTAAACACCGCTCCGCTTCACAACTGGTTTGTACTTCCAAACAAGTCCATCATCAAGAGCACACCCCCTCACCTTCTTCTTGATGACCGTCCGCGTCGGCGCGCTCGCCTGCTCGACGGTGTCGTCCATTCTAGTTGCTCGCAGCTCCTCCACAATCAGATCCCAGCGGTCCTTGTTCTGGTACCAATGTACCCCGCAGCGATTGCACAGCGTTTTTGGGCCGGCGGGCCCCTTACGCCAGCAGGGCGTGTTGGTTGTCCCGCACACACCGCACCGCTGCTTGGAGAGGTCGTCGCCCTTGCAAAGGGGCCGCTGAGTGATAAGAAGGAGGGAATCTGCGCGGGAAAAGCCGGTAAACCTTCACTTTTGCACGTGACAGCAAGGGATTCGAATCTCGATGTTGGTGCTTGTTGGTAAGGAGAAGAAACTATTAAGATCACGGTCATAACTGGGGGCTGCTGGTGCCTGAAAACAAGGGAAGAATCCTGGGGCTTCTGCAACTTTTAAAAGCAGAAGCAAGGGGAAATCGTCGCCCTTGCAGAGGGGCCGCTCGGTGATGAGCAGGAGGGAGTCTGCAGGAAGAAGGAACGAATTACAGGAGAATACATATCATAGTAAGAACTGGGGGGGTGAGTTTTTGTCGATCGAGTACAGAAAAGAATCTGGGGATTCTAGAGATTTAAAGAGGTCGCCGCCCTTGCTGAGGGGCAGCTGAGCAATGAGCAGGAGGGAATTGGCGAAGGGGAATGACGTGATTATGATGTTCATATCACAAGTAAGGTGGATCCGGAGAAAAAAGTGGGAGGAAACAGAGAATTAAACAAAGAAAAGCATGAAAACTTGAAAGAGAAGGAAAGCATATGGATATGAGTAAGGGGGCCGCCCTTACTCAAAGCTAAGGCTTTCAGTGAGCTTCTCGTCAGTGAAAGCAAAGACTTTCAAAAGACTTGGGAGATGAAGAGTATTCAATGGAGTCTGAAATGGTCAGCAACACGTTAGGATGATCAGCAACACGTGCGGACTTGGAATTCAAGCAGAGAGACTTCAAAAATCAGTGTAATGAAATGCTGCATGGAGGAAAATGGTGGCGTCACAAGAAATGGATTTACTGTTGAGCTGAAGGTGAGTCTTTAATGAACAGTGGCAGTGAAGAGTTTGGAAACCGGGCAAAAAGGGAATATCCACAACAAGGATATGACGCGCCATAAGAATGTAACCAAAGCCTCCGACACATCACCACTAAGCAATGCTGAGACTTTGTGTTTTGCTAAGAGGTGTTGGAAGGTAGGGTGGACAGATGGCAGCTGAGAACGACCTGAATGACATCCGTCCAGCAACAACCTTACAAGCAAGGTGGAACGAAAGCATGCCAACACAAAGCAAGAGGAAGTTGCAGCTGACTAGACCCTAAAGGTCAGGAATGCCGTCAGAACTTCAGCATCCCCTCCGTTAGACACTTAATATCAATGTTGAGAGGGTTTGGGACAAAGCGAGGATAAGTTTTCCAGCCTCACGACAGAGGAGAAGTGTTCAGCAGGTGTGAGGTGGAAAGTGGGGTGATTACGTGGTTGACAGACCCGCTCCAGTGACGTGCTGAGAGTCACAAGCTTAGCCCACTCTGAAGGTGCCAGCGGGGTTTAGTAAAAAGGCAAATGCAGTCTGTTTTCGAAAGCGTTCATTGAGCGCCCAATGCTAGTCAAAGGGCGGAAGTATCTCAAGAAGACAGCTCAAAAATGCTAAAGCAAAGGGACTCGCTATCCTTGGAGTCTGACACATGCGTAGCTACAGTAGAGACAATTTGAATGCAGATGAAATCTGAGATGGAAGCCCAGTGACGCCTTCACAAGGTTTGTTGTGGGAGCAACAGTCAGCTTGAGACTGGAGAGGGCATGTTTAAGTGGTGACATTGCGTTGCACTCAGCTGAGATTCGCGCTTTGACTCTGGTACAATTTAACTGAACCTTGGAAGTCTGAAGGCATAGGCAGAAATTTGAGCGCTAAGGCTGTCATGCAGTCAGAGACTGTATCCTGTTGCTAGCCTCTGACCCCATTCCACACCAGTCAATGCAGGGCACTAATCTGGAAAACATTGAGCGTCACCAAAAGTCTTCCCCCCCCCTTGTCAGCTTCAAATGTTTGAGTACTGAAGCTCAGCCAAACACATCTAAAAACATGAGCAGGGCAACCTTAGCACAGAGTGCGATGAGAAGTGGTCATCCCCTCCAGACATGGTCAACCCAAAGAGTCTGCGTGCCCCTAACCCCCAATGCAAGTACCTCGCTACGTTTGAGACATCTCAGCTGCAGGGCATCATCCGAACCAAATCCTTAACCAAAATTCTCTGATCAAGCCTAACAGAAACACAGCCCTGCCCCACCATCTGCTTTGAGAGAGCAATGCAGCTTACAAGGAATGACACAACCACTTTCAGGTGGGGTATTAAGATTCGCTGACCACTAGGAATCAAACTAGACCAAGGCGCACACCTCACTCGCAGCTTACCCGCTAGCCTGCCAAACTGCATGATGTAAGGTGCAAAGAGGGCAATGACACCAGCATTTGACAAAGCGCCTTGCCATTAGATTGGATGATGCAATCAGAACAATACACAGAGTCGCACGGTTCTTCTTTGATTTGTTGTGGCGATGCCACGTGCCTACGAGGGTAAGAACCACCACTTCTAGATGTTGCTGGGAAGTATTAGGAGAGGTCTCTGCTAAGGGGCACTTCCTCCTACCTAGGCTCCACTCCTGATCGTGTAGGGCCTTCCTTTCTCTGATTTAGGGCTATGAAATCAAAAAAAGCTTTCATACTGAGGAGGCCATCAATACGGAGCCCTTGATGCTGCTGAACCACACACTTTCCAGAGATTTGCTCGACAAACCTCATCTGCCATGCAACAAAGACTCCAAATGTGTTGGGGCGAAGGGGCACTGCTGGCATCATAATCGAATGTGGAAAGGAAGGAGTTAGTAAAAAAAAAAAAAAAAAAAAGTACTGATGAATAATATGAGTGAGCAGATTGATGAGGGAGGCCCAATGCAATAAGGTCACATGGTAGCCCTTGCACTATTTTCCATGGAATCAATGCCACCTGAAGTGACGGTCATCACAGGCAAGCTCAAAGCAATGAGTCCATTAACCAATCAGCAGGGTCTAAGGGCCACTATTAAGAGTTGCAACAAGTGAATGTGAAACGAAGTGTAGTGGTAGGCTTCATCCTGTAAACAACGTTGAGAAACACACTGAGCGATAGGGAAGCGCCCTACCTGCAAATTCCTCATCGCTGAGCATGCTTTGCCCGGCTGCCGAGAGCACGCTGCCTTTCATCTCAACTCAATGCTCCTAGGCCCCGCCACCAAGTCCCCAGGCCCACAACCACCAGCGTTTCAGCTGGAGGCGATCACCACCCCACTCAATATCTGAGCAATTAAGCTCTGAGCAACTCAATGCATAGCACCTGTCAACCCTATGCTAGGCAACATCGTCAAGACCTCCTTGGCGGGCTATTTGCTGTTGCACAACTTTTATGGATTGCACCATAGAGCTGTTGCGCTTCCTCTTCCAACTCCGCTGACCTTCTGCGAAGTTCTGCCTCATGAGTCACGACTTAAAATTTTGGAGGAGGTCCGAGGGAGGGGTTCGCCCCAGCCGCTTGCATCATACCGTAGGTAAATGCTTCATTTTGTACCTGCGCGCGCGCATTTCCAAAGGCATTGTAGGTACATTCAGACTGCTTGTGCTAGGTGCACGTACACACGCACAGTACCAAGTCCAAGTCACTTTGCTGCCTCGAGCACTCCGGGGATGCGGGATTCTAGAAAGTCACTCCTGCGTTTTCAAAAGGGGGAAGGCGAATTAGAAACTTGAAAGATGCCGCCGCGCGCAATTTGCAGACCACTTCAAACGGATCTTCCCCGCCACGTTGGCAGCCTCAAACTCTTTTAGCACTTTTGGCCGCTGCCAACGTGGCACGTTTCGGCGGCCCCAAGGATTTGTGGTTGGATTTGGCAACCGGTGACAGCCATCCTGATCGTTGAATACGGTGCCGACGGCCTCGATGAATCCTGCTGTTTCTCTTTTTGGATCATGTAAAACTTCCGTCCCCCGAAAGGTACCGTCAGGTACTGTACCGACACGAACACCCGGTTCCTGGTCTGACTGGATGATGAGTGGTCAACACGATCCGCCGCGCCCAGGTGGCAGACATGCATTTACTGCGGGCACAGCTCGACCAACTCCGTCAAGTACGGAATTTGGTCTTATAAGTTATGATCCATGACACGTGACATTCGACCGTACCCACTTGAGCTTCCATGATACCTACCGGTAGTCCATTTAGGGTTTCTGATTTTCAAGCTTTAGGGTATGAAGTTGACGTAGGATACTGTTGGCGCCAAGTCCTTCAAAATCCTGTAGTCCAACGTGATGATTCCGAACGATTTTATTTCGAATTATTTTCCAACAATCCGACCAGGAAAGTGGAATTATTTATGCTGATTCCGACCAAAATCCGAATGCCCTATGGTCTCACTCAAAAGGGGAGTTTTTGGCTGCTTTTGGCAGTTTTACGGCTTCCGAGGACCATTTCAGGGTTATTTTACCTTTCCGAAATTTTCACTTTCCGAATGGGAAATCTGAATCTCTGACTTTCCGAACGCAGATAATTATTTATTTATTCGGAATCGTCACGTTGGACTACGGCACCTGCTGCCACTAGTGTGCACGCCTTGAAGTTGAAATTCAAATTCAAGTTGAATGGGTCAACAAATGCGTGCAAATGCCAATGCCGCAACTCTGAGCTGACATTGAGAGTCGAACAAAAAGGTTGAGGCTTGGGAAAGCCCCATTCATATGCGAGCTCACTTTCAAGTGTCTGCCGAGACCTGGTGGTAAGATCAGACAGTGCGCTCGCAAACCAATTGAGGAGCGCAACATCGGCGCGAAGTCGGTTTGGACTTTTTGTTGGCACCCCAAAGAGAAGCAAAATGGCAGCTTCTGCTGCTCACCCACACCCGGAGAGTATACTAGAGTGGGTGACTGGGGAGATGGAGTATCGTCCTCCGGATCGGACCGCCGACGACTTTCCGCTGGATGCCGATTCGTTCCGGAAGATATGTCGGGGCAACCTGGCTCCCGTGTGGAAGTTTCTTGTAGAACGGGTGAGAAGCTATGCTCCATTGTCTCGCATAAACTCTGTTGTCCTCGTCGTTCAATCTCTTGCTGGTGTCCACAAATCCAATTGTGGCCACTGGATTTTACCAGCCGGAACAACTTTGTTGACATGAAGCATCCGGGAAGCTGATTTACTCCTCGCAATCTGAGATCGTGATTCGTCTTCGTAATTCTTCAGTGCTTGCTCTGAACAGCTGCTCCAAAAGAGCAGAGGTCTTGCATAATGGTTCCTAAAACGTTTGGTCTCCTTTGCCTTGCAAGTATGATCCTTATCAGGCGTCCGAGCTCAGATCGTGTTGCAATGTGGCAGGAATTGACCAACATTGCCCTACCATTTTTCCAGAAGAAGAAGTCTCTGAAGTTTACACAGTGGGAGCCGAAACATGGCCCTAACCAACGTGCTTCAACTTACCAACTAAGCAAACAAACCCCTCGGAAGTCAATATCAACTCACCCGATCAATCATCTGCAGGTGCGATCTGAGAAGACTGTGCGGGACATTCGGCGAAACCTGATTGTACATGGCCAGGGGGACAGGAAAGGGCGGCATGAAGGCTGGACAGGGGAGACACTGGACGGGCAATGGACAGACAAACCCGGGGAGACCGGCAGAGAAGAGGCGCTTCTACAAAGGGCCACAGCCCAAGCAGAGGTGAAGAGTCCCAAACCTTTTAAAGGTGCTAAACTTTAGAATGGGGCTTGTGATGAATGAAATACATAGCGGATGCGCATTCCAAAAAGTGTAGTCCCGGTGCCAACAGGTGTAGTCCAAAACTATCACTCCGGGGGTGTGCCTGACTGCATATTATTACTAAAGGCCGCGTACTCAACAAGCCGGGCATAGTTATTCAGTAGCATAAGTGGTCTGACGCCCTGTTCAAATTGTGGGCAGGTGGCCCGGTTGCAAGATCAGGTGGCAGATTTGGAACGCTCGTTGGAGCAGCAGATGGAGGACGGCGCAAGAGAGGAGTTGCAGCGTGACAGGTGAGTTACGCAGAGTCAATCTCGTGAGTCCGAGTGGATCAAGCTTTGCTGATGAGACGTGATTCTGCTCCCTTTTCAGAACCAAACAGTTGCAGATAAAGAAGCCTCATCGGATTTGCGATGGCGGCAGTATTGCTGAACAATCGTCTTGGGGCATCTCGATGATACTTCACAGCTTGCTTTCAAACCAGATTTCCCCATCGTGAGCCTGTTGGAGGTGTGACTGAAACGATCTTGGAAGCTGTAATCTGCGGCTTCGTAGGTTAGACATTGTTGTTGCTGGAAGCATGCTTGACTGTGATGCCTGTTTCTGAAAGACTGGCTTATTGATCCTGTCAAAGTGGTTCTCTCACCCTCTCCTAATGACTCTGTTCAAAACTTCCTGGTTGCTCTTATCCAACGATATCCGAACTTAAGCGTCACGTCTTCTGGCCTCACAGGGATGCAATGGAGCGGAGCGACCAGGAGTTTCGGATCGTCGCTCTGGAATCCTACCAGCGCCAGATGTCGGACGCTGTTGCCCTTTTCCGGACGTGCAAGCAGCGTTTGGACGTCCACATCGCCCACGCTCGGACCGCCAAACAGAGCGCCGCACAGGCGGCCCCGCAGCAGGTCTTTGAGCGCCAGGTGGCGGTGCGCGATTCGTTAGCCCTGAGCTCGACGGTGAAACGAGCGGAGGTATCCGAAACGCCCGGAGATTATAAACCGACCCAGTCCTCTTCCAGATCGAGCTCAACCAGTGTCAGCGCTAGGGTGCCTGAAAATGCGGGTCATGCGAGCACGGTTCAAAGTGATAGCACAGTTTCAGTGTCCGGCAAGCCGAGTTCGGACCCGAACTTGGCGTCCGGAGCCCCGCTTTTGGAAACTGCGACCGAGCGCCAGGTGCGGGAGGCCTGCGAAGCTTTGGCCGGTCTCTTGGAGAAGCGGATCGCGGAGAGCGTTCCGGAGCTCCGACTTTCGGACGATGCGGACCTGGATCCGACCGATTCGGACGCTCGTACCAACACCTCGGACGCTCAAACGCGCGACACGGACGGTGCTTTCGGGTCCGCTTCGCCGAGGTCACCCGGATGGCAAGAAGGCCACAGTGAGTTTGACGACACCGGAGGGGGATCCCCCTGGGGGGCCGACGAGCGGGACGCGCAAGCAACAGGCCGGGAAGAGGTTTCGGAGCGGGCCGTGACGTATCTTGGCAGTGAGGTCTTTCTGGGAGGCGTCATACGAGATGTGCTGGGGGATTACCCGCCGGGAATGTTGGATAAGCTATCGGAGCTGCTTCGGGCGCCGCAGGAGTTGCTACGGGCGGTTGCGAGTTGTACGAGCGCCGCAGCGGAAGCCCTGAAAGGCGAGACGGAGCGGATCGACATTCGGGGGGATGCGGAAAGATTAAGGTGAGCGGAGAGTGCGGACGACCTTTAGGACGGCATCGACAGGGCACGTTTGAAACTGAACAGATAGTTCTTCGAAGTAGTTGTGTGCTAGAACGACGCAAATCGCTAAATTGTTTTGCAGCATAACTTTTACCCGGGGCACAATGGAACGACAGGCTTCCTAAACGTGACGTGTATTGCCTTGTTGGTCAGGTTCTTGGATGACGATCATGTAAAAGTTGCGGAAGGTTCTCCAGACTCTTGTAGTGGGTGGAATTTGGAAGGCCCCTCTAGGCCAGCGGGAAAGTGTGACGAGCAACAATACCGGCTGCATTGTTACGGTTGTTCCTCTGTTCAGATTGCTTCAACTCTCGGGGAAATACCTTTGAGCAATACCTTAACTCACCAAAACAACTCAAAGCTCAATCTTCTGCCGCTCTCCCGTTCAGCACAAATACGAGAACATGAGATTGTTCAGGACGCTCGTGCTAGGAAAACCCGTCAGCACTTGCAACTAATGCAGGAACGAAGTCAACCTTGAATTTTCCCTCTATCCCTCTAGGTACAAGTACGAGAACAACAAGATCGTGGAAGACGCCCACTCCGGCGCCGACTTCGGCGGCGCGCGCACCGCCCTGGCGCTGCTGCGCGAGCGGCAGAAGGCGCACGTCGCACAGTTCATGCGTACGGAAGAGGCCTACGCGCAGGCAGATGATAGTCAACGAGGAACCGAAGAAGCGATGCGCGCAGTCCTGGAGGCGAGCGCGAAGAGCGGGACGCAGGAAACGATCTTGGAGGTGGGTCGGATGAGAAGGACTTAGAAGTCGCTTTTTCTCTGCGGGTTTACTTCTTTCTCAAGCAAAAGGAACGTAGAGAAGGTGATATGCGCGGTGCTGGAGGCGAGCGGATCGAGTGGGACGCAGGAAACTATTTTGAAGGTGGATCGGAGGGAAAGGGTTGCTCGTTTCTCGGAAGTTTTCGTGCTTTCCGAATCGAACGAAACAATTTGATCCAACTCGTGGGGGCAAGCGCAAAGACCGGGACGCGGGAAACGATCTAAGAAGGAATCCGGTGAGAAGGGACCCACCCTCGTGAGTCTTCACTGTTGCAAGTCCTTGAGGAATGAGACAGTGTGTAAGGAACTGTATTGAACGGAACGGTCCCGTAGGTTTGGGGCTAGTACGTGCTCAAATTCTGAACTCGAGGCCGTGCTCGAGTGGGAAGTGATGTAGTTCCTCAGTCAACCGGCAGAAAGAAACGACGGAACGGAACGGAACTAAGAAAGCGGAAGTTGCACCCCTGCAGCTTCAGGTGTGGGCCCGACAACCAGAGCTCGCTGGCTCAAAAGCCGCTGCAGTTGGTTCGGAAGCGAAGATTGCGCGCTTTTGTTTTCCAATGCTGCTTAGCTAACGAAACGGAACCGAACCCACGGAACAAACGGAACCGGACTTTTGCTGCTTCCAAACTGCAGCTTCGAGTCTGGGCCCAGGAACCGGAGTCGTTGACTACGAGGGGGCCGGCGGCCGTGCTAGACTTCGAATCTGTCAGCCATTTTTTTCCTCTCAATGCTCCAGTGGCCTGAACGGAACGGAATTCACAGAATGACGGAACGAACCCAGTGTTTGCAGCTTCAAGTCTGGGCGCAAGAACGGGAGCTTGCCGGCGCGAGAGCGGCGACGGCCGTTTTGGAAGCGGAGGTTGCGCGGCTGACTGCAGCGAAGGAGGAGCGGAAACGAGCGGAACTCCTGCTCCGGCGGAAGTGGCAGCGGATCACCGAGTTCGACGCGCGGCGGGCGGCGCTAGAAGCGCTTCACAATGACCTGTGCAAGGAAAATGACGTGAGGGGTTTGAGCATTCAGGGTTTTTTGAATTGCTTCAGTTCGTTGTGCTTCAGCTCGCTTGGGCCGTCTCGGATGTATCCTTGGCCGGATGAGGGGTTGGGTTTTCAGAGTATCGGACTTGGGGCAGTGCACGTAAGCGACTGGTTTCTCTGTGCACTTGGGTTGGAGGGTATTGGCCGGGAATGGACAGTTGAAACAGGGGGCTTCAGATGTTAGTTGTTGAGAAGAAATGAACTCTGAAGGATCATGAAGATGTTCTCCTCGTTCAGCCCGCCGGCGGCAAAAGATGACCGATCACAAACAGGCCGACTGTTTCTGTTCGGTAGGGTAAACCAATTGGACGACCCCTTTACATACTCGAGATCAAAATGTCGCAAGAAAAAAGACATTAAAAGACGTCCCAAGATCTTTGAAAATGTGGTCGCAAGTATCAAAACCACACGCCCGGAAGAGCAAGCAACGAGCGCAGGCAGACTTCTGAAGCGTCAGTTCCCGCAACAAATGACGCGCTCGCTGTTCGCGACCGCAGGAGTTGGCGGCAGCCTGGGGGGCCGTTTCGGACAGGGCACGTGCCCTCTCTTTGCGGACGGTCGCGCCGTTCGGACGGGCGCTCCGGGAGGTCGCTCAGCGCGGCCGGGACATGGTGGCCCGGGAGATGGAGGCGTTTGTCGCCGCTCCGCACCGGACGCTTCCGCCCCAGCTGGCGGAGACCGGAACAGGTAAGTCCAACGGAGCGGATTCGGTCAAACTGAATGTGATTCGGCGCCCGCCATCAAACGTTTCAGCTTCTTGCTGGTGTTGCGGGGGGAATGGTGGCTCGCAAGAGGGAAAGGTTTGTGGCGGCGCCGCACTGATGCTTCCGCCCCAGTATGCGGAGACCGGAACGGGTGGGTCCTCACACTTCATTGACTTCAAAAGTTGACCATCGACAACAAATGTCGTTTAGTCCTGCAGTGTGCTTAGTAGTCAGGGCCGCAAACGTTGATCTGGCGTAGCGCCAAGGACCCAGTTCCCACAATCACGAGTTTCACACCGTATGTCTTCCGTTATGGTCTTCCGACGTCGTTCTAGGATCTCAGACGTGCCAGTGCGGCGGACATCTACAATTAAGCTCCATTTGGTTCCCTTGCAGATGCTCACGAGGCTTTGACACGTGGCACCCTGTCGGAAGCCGCGTCCGGCAACTTCGCCGCGCTCTCCGCCCTCCAGCGCGCGCGCACCGCACGGCACCACCAGTCGGCCCTCCAATCGTCGGCTGCCACGTCAGCAGGGTCGCCCATGCGGACCCGAGGCCTTGCGGCGGCCGGTGGCCAGTCTGGGCACACTCTGGACAAGGCGCTGCCGCGCGTTTTACAGGGCCTCGCGTTTTGTCACCCGGAGTATGCGTCGGTGGCGGGGGTGATCTCGGCGGTCGCGAAGCAGCTTCAGGTCAGACTGAAATTCATTCTATTTTTAGCTTAAGCTAAACCTGGAAAGTACAAACCCCTGAGTAGAGTCCTGTTTCCTCACTCGAGTAGATTAGGGTTGGGGCGAAAAGTTTGCACCATTGCATTCATTGAGCAAGGCCAGTAAGAGGAAAAAGGGGGCTTCTCTCACGCCCAGTCTCAAGTGCTTTTCCACATTAAGAACCTGTCTACTAATAATTCAGCCCTTACAAAGCCTGCTATCCGCCCCACAGCTGTCTCTATCCGCTAACCGGGCCAACTATCTGAAACCATTTTATAGGTAGTCTTGACTCTTGACGATATATTCACGAGAGGCCCTGTGCGCGCTCTCGTCTAACGGCTGCTTACGACCCTCGGTCGTCCCTCCTTGCAGGAAGCAGAAACCTTGAGCGCGCTTGTTCCTGACGGCCGTTTTTCGTGGACGAAGCGAGCGACGGCCGGCTGGAGCTCACGAATAAACACAGAAACGCCGCAATAAACGCCACTAAATGCGACACTCTTGCCCGCCTTTGCCAAGGATGGTTTTCAACTCCCCTTTTTCGACTGATGCAGGAAGCGAAAACTCTGAGCGCGCTTCTTTTGACGGCCGTTTCTCCGTGGACGAAGCGAGCGACGTGTGGGGGACGTTTGGCCGGACCTCATGAATCAACAAAGAAGCGGTACTAAATTCCTGCCCGCACTTGACACGCATCACTTCAATCCCTTCCATTGAGATCTATTTTGTCTTTTTCTGATTTTGCAGGAAGCCGAAACCTTGACCGCGCTTGTTTCCGTCGGCCGCTTTGCCGTGGACGAAGCCCGGCCGGCGGTCATGAAACAACGCCATGAAAAACGCCACACTTCGGTTCGCATGTGACAATAATCTTCATGAATCCCTTCTTTACACATCCCGCAGGAAGCCAAAGCGTTGAGCGCTCTTATTTCCGATGGCC